GTGACCGGGGATGCAGTTTCCGAAAAACGAGGCAGAGGCTGACCATCACGATGGTGGAGACAGGACATTGAAGATACATTAGCTAAGAAAGGGTGGAAGATCTGGCTAGAGAGAGACTTTCAGGTGTGCTGTGAGAGCAGGCTGACCTTCACGATGGTGGAGACAGGACATTGAAGATACATTAGCTAAGAAAGGGTGGAAGATCTGGCTAGAGAGAGACTTTCAGGTGTGCTGTGAGAGCAGCGACATTCTGTAGAGAATCTTCTGCCTAATCGAACGGCTACACTAACCAGGTTAAATCTGCAGCCCTGTGTGGGTAAGCAGGTTCTCTTGAACATACTGCTCTAGCTCCCTACTTTACTAACTAATTCGCCTCGATGTAAGCGCGCGCGCACGCGTGTGTGTATGTGTGTTGGTGGGAGGAAACACAGAATATATCACCAGAGGAAACTGTATTTTTTTTTCGTATCCAGAAACCATGAGTTGTAAACCCTTTGGCTCGGTACTATTGATATCGCAACCCTTCGGCCTTGATTCCATTATAGGTACCGTTAATCTGAGAGAAATGTGGCTTTTCTGCCTACCCCCGGGAGTGAACCCGGACCACAAGGAGTTCGTCACCCGGCCGCCGCGAAAGTCCGGTTTAACCAACTTCGCTAGAGAGCCGGGCAGATGAAACTGTATAAATGTGTGTGTGTGTGCGTGCGTGTGCGTGTGCGTGTGTGTGTGTGTGTGTGTGTCTGTGTGTGTGTGTGTGTGGAGAAGAACATACAACATATTATATGAAAATACTTTGCTTGCGTGGGGAAGACAATTGCCCATATCACTAGAGTGTGACTAGTGGAAACTCTCTGTGTGTTGGTAGAGAAGAACAGTGAGCATATGAACGCTGGAGGAAACAGCATGGGTGAAGGAGAACATAGAAGATATCACTGGCGGCAAATGAATGGCTTAGGGAGAACATAGAACATACCACTGGCGGCAAATGAATGGTTTAGGGAGAACATAGAACATACCACTGGCGGCAAATGCATGGCTTAGGGAGAACATAGAACACATCATTGGAGGCAAATGAATGGCTGGGGGAGAACATATCACTGGAGGCAAATGAATGGCTGGGGGAGAACATATCACTGGCGGCAAATGAATGGCTTAGGGAGAACATAGAACATATCACTGGAGGCAAATGCATGGCTTAGGAAGAACATAGAACATATCATTGGAGGCAAATGAATGGCTGGGGGGGAGAACATAGAAGATATCATTGGTGGCAAATGAATGGCTGGGGGAGAACATAGAACATATCACTGGAGGCAAATAAATGGCTGGGGGAGACCATAGAACACATCATTGGTGGCAAATGAATGGCTGGGGGAGAACATAGAACACATCATTGGTGGCAAATGAATGGCTGGGGGAGAACATAGAACACATCATTGGCGGCAAATGAATGGCTGGGGGAGAACATTGAACATATCACTGGTGGCAAATGCATGGCTTAGAGAGAACATAGAACATATCATTGGTGGCTAATGAATAACTTGGAGAGAACCTAAAAACATATCACTGGATGCAAATACATGGCTGAGAGAGAACAAAGAACATATCATTGGAGGCAAGTGCATGGCTTGCGAAGAACATAAAATATATCACTGGCAGCAAGTGCATTGCTAAGGGAGGACGCAGAAAATATTACTAGAGGCAACCGAATGGATAGGGAAAAACATAGAACACATAATTGGAGGCAAGTGCATGGCTAAGGGAGAACATAGAACGTATTACTGTGTTGAACTTTCTCTGTGTGTATGTGTGTGTATTTGTGTGTGTGGGGGGGAGGGAGGTTTGGGAAAAAAATAGTTACTACATTATAGCGGCGCTCCTGATAAATTGTACCCAGTTGTTGGTACTGACTTTCCGATCAATCACATGAAAAATTGCGACAGTTCACGATAAATCACCGTACAATAAAAAATAAGTGCCCTTATATGAACCAGTTTTTCTCTCCGTGTGGGACTCAGTTTGAAGGGACAAAAGAATAGACCCAGTACCGCTTACAAGCGTGTCGCAAAAGATGACTAATAAGCGGTGTTTCCTTGGAAGTCGGAGTACATCTGAATAATAAAAAAAGGAACCGGGAGTCTGCACGTAAGCGAGCTAGATCTGTAAAACAGACATACACAAAAACTCAAGTTCTGGGAAAAGACTAGACGACGAACAATCAAACGGTCCGCCGAAATGTACATCTAATGAACGCTCAGAAGAAGAAGGAGAACAAATTGTCATGAGAATTACTAATCCTAAAATTTGACCAAAACATCTTTGAAGTGACTCTAGCATTCCACAAACACAACTGAGTGTGAATACAAACATAAACTTTAACAATACGTCTCAAATTAGAGAATTAAAATCACACAGACGCGCTAGTTTCTAATCTTAATTTGATTTTCAGTCTATAGAAGTCAGTACATTTTAGTGGTTCAAGCAAGGGCAAATAACTCTTTTATCGCAATGAAAACGAGGTTAACTGTTCTTATTGTCTGTTCATCTTGTTCCTTTGATGTTAATTTATTATTTGTGTGGTATATTTATTTTCAGATTCTTCTGTTGGGTTGTGTTTGCTCCAGCTGATTGTTTAATATGTTGACAGTCTTGGGTAGTTACTAATCGTGTCCAGTCTTCAGTTTAGGGCCTAGTGTTTCTCTCTATATCCAGGAACTCCGAAACAAAGGCAAAATTGAGAGAAAAAGAGAGTTAGCATCCTTATTATATTCTAGTGGCGAGGTGGGTAGCGCGGGGCTGAGGGGGTGGTGGGAGAAGGAAGTCTTGTTAAAGTGTGTAATAATATTTGTAGGAAACAATAATAATATGATTGGCACTTTTCCGTCCTTCCAGACGATAGTGTCATACTGTGCAATGAGGAGGCATAGGACTCACAGCCCATGTTGATAAATTAAGGCCAAAGATTAGGTTTCGTCTCTCAATAGCACAATGTCTGGGCAGTATCGTAGAGAGCCTATGTTGCCCATAAAATCATAAAGCCCCTCTCTTTCTCTCTCTTTCTCTCGAACTGCCTTGTTTATACTAAAGATATTGTAACACTATTACGTTTGAAACAAAGCAGGCTGCAGAAGCTGCACGATAAAAAGAGAAGTGTTATCTCTGACAGCTTGCCAGAGCTCCCCTCCTAGACAGGCTCCCAACCAAGGCTAAGGGCCTGGTCTGCCATGCTATAATATAAATTTTTCAGGTTGCATTTCTTTTTCTATCCTAGGATAAGGCTAGTATCCTCCCCAGTGCACAGCTCCCACCGAAGCCGCTGGCACAATATGGGATGTCAAGTTTGGTATACGCCGCCCAACATTCGGCGTTAATAGAAGACATGTAGTACCGGCTACTGTTACACAGTAGATCCATCATATCTGACCAAAACCTGACCTACAATAATAATAACAACAATAATTATATATGTGCTAAATGGCAAATGAATTGAATATTTCACATACGATTGAATGCACAAACAAATTCAGTAGTACCTTGGGCCAAGAACGCCTCTCGTCATGAACAACTTTTATGTGAACACACTTTATGTTTACACTTGACCCGCGAACAATGCCTCGCTGAACGAATTGATCAGTTGTGCTCAGGTTTTTAAGCTGCTAAAATTGTTTTTCGTTGCTTTATTTTTGGTACAATTATTCCCCCTCCACCACCCCACCTCCTCTTTTCATTTAGGTGTATTGGGAATATATGGATAGACCTATATTTTTATAGACCAATGAACACTTGGTTGGTGATGTGGTTAGCATCACGCCGACTGCCTTTACTTCCCAGGACTACACCTGGTACCCACTTAAGACTTGGTCAACCTGGGAAACATATGTAGGTGAAGGACATTTTTCATTGCCTTAATGCCTGTTGGGCATATAGGGCTAGATTTATATTTTATAGATCTATTGACCCTTGGGGTCAATCAGGCCGACCACCTTTACTTCCCATGACTGCACCTGGCACTCACTCAAGGCTGGGTCAACCTAGTAGCCAAGGTCATTTCGTTTTTTAAAAAGGTCAGGCTTCCCCAGGGCACTAACCCATGACCTTCCGATCCGCGAGTGTCCAGGCGTTACACCACGAGGATCCCATTGGGCACATAGGGTTAGACCTTAGTTCTATAGACCAATCGGCACTCTGTTGGTGATGTGGGAACATCCCTGGACTTTGACCTTGTCACTGTTTAAAGCTGAAATGACGCGGGAGCCAAGGTTTTATTTTGAAGGAAGGGAAAACACCGTGCGATTCAGTCAGGTTCCAAGACAGTGGAACAGGGAAATATCGTCAATGGAAAACATTCAGAGCTGCAAGAAGTTAAGAAGTAGCGAGCAGAGCAACATGATGATGTTTATAGTGGTGATGATGGTGATGTTAATGATTGTATGAACATGCTGAATACCACTCAGATGATGTCGATATGACTACAACGGTGATGGTGGTGATGAGAACGATTTTGATGAGGATAAATGGCGTGTTTGATACTGATCATGACCATGATGCGACGGCGAGGATGATGATGATAACAATATATTGACTCGCTTCAACTGTAATGTCTCGGATGAGGTGACTGCAACGACCAAATGACGATGATCATAATGATGATGATGAAAATGATGATTAGCTCTTATCTACGAGGAGGGAATGACAATGATGATTATAATGTCAAAAAAAGAGGATGGTAATAAAACACACATGATGCATCGTAAGAAACTGTTCGAATTTCAGTTGGATTTATTCAGTTTTGTGCTTTATTTTATGTTGAAGTAACTCTGTAGTAACGCACCTGATGAGGTACAGCGAAATATGCGTGGCAATAAATTGTGCAATGTATTGTTTGTGTCCGCATTTTTTAAAGATGACGGTGATGATTTTGATGATGATAATAATGAAGATTATGATGACGATGACGCATGAAAAGTAAAAAAAAAAACGACGATAACGTACGGACCTACCTCAACCGTTGCCTCTTCAATTATAACAATCTGAAACGACTTGTCCAGAATTAAAAACACCATAACAAGTCCCAAGGGAAACTCTACCAGCAGAAACAACCCGACCACCGCCACCAGCATCAAAGTGGTGCAGTTTGATTCCTTCAGCTTCCGACTCTCACTCTTTTTATTCTGCCGCAGTAACTGCATCCTCCTCTGCTGCGCCTTTTTCATGGCGTGGATGAGAAGAGCGTTCATAACGACGAGAGAGACACACGGTATAAGATGAATAAATACGACCCTCACTCCGAAGTAGATGTTGTAATACAGATTAACATTGGAGCTGACCCAAGGGCGCATCTCTTTCACGCAAGCGGAAACAGTTTTATTGGGAACCAAAATGGAGGGTCTGTAAGTCTCCACGAAGTAAAACTCAAAAAAGCAAGTGAACTGGCTGAGTGTAGCTAAGGCGAGGATCGTTATGGCTCCGATAATAACGTTTTTAATTGTGCACCATGTCCGTGCTTTGAAAGAGTGGCAGACGTAGATGTACCTCTGGAAGGCTAGCGCCATAGTCAGCCAGATAGAGGTCGTGTGGAAGATTGTGGGGATGTATACGCGGAAGATTTCGACGGCGAAGCACCAGTCATACGGCACCCATTCTCGGTATCTCTCCGTGGCGTAGAAATACAGAAAAACCGGAACGGGAAACAGTCCGGTAAACATGTCCGACAGAGCCATGGCAATCAAAATGGCGTTGGTAGGACTGCGCATGTGTGGTTTCAGTAAGACGATACAGACTAGGGTGTTGTTGATGATTGTTAAGAAAACGAGCACTGGCGAGAGATAGCCTTGTAGAGGGATCGAATAGCTGTCAAAAAAAAAAAATGCGAAACATGTGAGGTCAAAATGGTACAGAGCATTAATATCATTGTGATAATATATGAGCCATTACACCGTCACGAAGCAATTGCTGTCAGTTGTCTTGTTCTTGTTCTTATTTCCTCTTCATTCTTACTTATTTCTTCTTCTTCTTCCTTTCTTTTTCTTTTTCTTCTTTTCTTCTTCTTCTTCTTCTTCTTCTTCTTCTTCTTCTTCTTCTTCTTCTTCTTCTTCTTCTTCTTCTTCTTCTGAGCGTTAACCGGTTGTAAGCTCCAGCGGAATGTTCTTATTGTATGCCTACGTATGGACTTTGGTCTTGTATTGTAACTTGAGTTTTGCGTGCATAACCGTTCAAAATATCTTTTTTTTTTTCATGCAGATTGTTGGTTCTCGCTTCTCCATGAGAAGCACTGAGACTTAGAATGAAACCTCTCTAATCAGTCGCATTTTTACGACTTGCTTCGAAGGAAGACAAGTGGGTCTGTCCTCCACTTACTATCCCAAGTGGGATCCAGGAATCCACATCGGGGATGTGTTGTAATTTTTTATTTAAAATAATTAACCAGCAGACATCTCAAAGTAAAAGCAAATTTTAACAAAATTGCAATTAATTTTTTTTTTTTTAATTCAACAAGCAGACAGCTCAGATTTAAGGTAAGTTTTCACAAAATTGCAATTACCCACGACCTTCCGATCCGCACGCGAGCGTCTAACCGCTCCGCCAGGGTGACTCCCATAGACTCACTGTCTCCTCAACATGCATGTCGTAGGAGTTAATTAATTAGGGACATCCTTTGAAGTCGGAGTACATCTGCCTGAGTGGCAGAGAACCACACCTCTGCATATGAATAAGTCAGATGTGTTTGAAAAGGTTGTGCATGGAGAACTCAGTTTCTGGAGCAAATCTGCGAGTTGACAGCCAGTGAACACGAAGAAGAAGAAGAAGATCAGAATCTGAACCCACGACCTACAGATCAGAAGCCGCTTCACCACGGTGTTCTACTGTGTTTAAGATAATCATCATCAGCATATGGTACCTTGCCAACTGGCGTGGGCGATCATGCCTCTCCACAATCTGCGATCTCCTGCAGCATGTATCAGTTCGTGTGCTGACACACCTCCATGCCATGCAACAAGACTGCCAAGAATCTTTTTTCGTTGTCTTCCTCTATCCCTCCTTCCACAGATCTTTCCAGTGGTCACCACATGCTTTATTTTCCCTCTTCTCATAACAAGGCACACACAAAAAGATGACTGTCTCCTTCTGATGTCTATGATAAGTTGTCTTCGGGCTCCCGCCTCTCTCAAAACCTCTTGGTTGGTCTTTTTGGCTGTCCAAGGTACTCTAAGCATTCTTCTGTAAAACCACATCTCTGAGGCCTCAAGAAACTGTTTGGCCTGCCTACCGATTGTCCAGGATTCACAGCTATATGTTAAAACTGGATGTATGTAACAAGCAAGAATTCTGATTCTAACTCTTAATGACAAAGATGTATCGCATAAGATGCGTTAAAGATAATTACAGTATTTAATAAAGTAAAATTATACGGATAATAACAATAGCCAAATGACACCAACTTCACTCACAGGGGAGGTTGGTCTCGCTCTAGACGCATGGCCTTGTCAGTTGAGCAAGGCGGGAAATAGTCTGTCGAAGGCACCGTGCTGTCATTGTCTGGGGAGAATGCCAGGCGAATTTCCTCAAGCAACTCCGATGTGCTACTGTTTGGGTGGTAGCGGATGTTGCACATGACCAGAAGGCATTGGATGATGCCCTGCGTCCAGTTCGCCTCAACTACCTCGGCGTAGCAGGTGTGTGCACACACCCGGTCGCAGTGATCCAACATGGTTAAAAGGAAGCCTCTACCACAATTCTCTGCAATGTATAAGTATGTATCAAGAATTTACAACACACATTTATTAGATTTAAGACATTAGTTTTTCAACATCTGCTTACATTAGTGATTCCCAAACAGTGCGCTGCGGCGCCCCGGGGAGCCGCGACCTCTTCACAGGGGTGTCGCGAAATATTCGAAGACGCACGAGTTTTATTTTGTATTTTTTTTTTTTTTTTAACATACGATTAGTCATGCTCTTATTTAGGTTGGGGCATCATAGAAAAAGTTGTAATTGAATAAAAGGGGCCGCGACTAAGAAAAGTTTGGGATACACTGGTCTAGACACTTGCGTGTGAATATGTTTCGTGTAAAATAATAAACCTGTCTTTATTTTGTTTTTTTCCCTAAAATATTACCTGTAATGATTTTACTAACCATTGTTCGTAAAAATCAGATAAGGCATTTCAAGTAAAAATTTGATAAATACTAGGAGTTTGAGCAAAAAGATTAAAATTATTTCAAGGTTTTACAACCGTAAGAATCTGCAAGCAGTACTAAATCTTCTTGACAATTTGACATGCATAAATGGGGGAAAAAAACTGGTGAGGATGTAGAAACATTAGAAATAGATTAATGTTTATCGGTTTTGCTTGATTCAAGAGTAACGCGTCTCATATTTTATAGTTAACTAGCTGTACCCGGCCACGCCTTGCTGTGGCCCAGAATGGTGAAATGGAGAGGAAAGAAAATAGCTCTCAGCTAACAGTGCCTGTCATATCCCCCCTCCCCGCTCCCCCAATCATTTCTCCCTCTCCGAAGGATTGAAAAATCATCCACAGCGAAATTATTAAAAATAGAAATAGTTAAGAAATGAGAACTCTAAAATAATATTTTGAGTTCTCTCATCTAGCTGTGTCTGGCAAAACCCTACCCCCCCCCCCTTCTTCTACCAATAATATCTCCCTCTCCGAAGGATTGAAAAAATCATCACCTGACGAAATTATTAAAATAGAGATAGTTAAGAAATGATAACTTTAAAATAATAATTTAAGCTCTGCCAGCTAACTGTGTCTGGCATAACCCCCTCGCGCCCCCCCCCCCCCAATCCTCCACCAATCATATATTTCAATTAGAAATAGTTAAGAAATGAGAACTTTAAAATAATAATTTAAGCTTTCTCAGCTAACTGTGTTTGGCATATACCCTCCCCCCCCCCCCCCCCGGGCCCCTTATCATATCTTCCTCTCCGAAGAATTGAAAAATCATCACCTGGCGAAATATTTAGAATAGAAATAGTTAAGAAATTGGAACTTTAAAATAACATTTTTAGCTCTCTCAGCTAAATCTGTCTGGCATAAACTCCCCCCCCCCACCACCCCCCCCCCCCCTTTCCCCCAATCATATCATCCTCTCCGAAGGATGGGACAGTCACCGTGCAACGAAATATTGTAACTAAATTGAGCTTGGCATCCGTATCCACCCAGACCTAAATAGGTAGCATTAGCTTGTACAGAGGAGAAAATGTAGCCAGTGTAACAGCTACCACATAACCCATCCAGTACCAGTACTACTGCAACCACCACCACCATCACAACAACAACAACAAAAACTGTCACTACAGTCTGTGTAGGTTGGTGTAGAAAAAAGGAGTTAGCGCCACATGCTGTCGCCACGGACTATTTAGTTTAATGTTGCCCCCAACAAAGAGCACACAACTGTCAAGCTGGTTGCAAACATTCGACTGTCATTTTACACAGACATGTCTGACGTTCTCGTTTACAGATGCGACAGTCAGTTTACACAGAAGTGTTTGACTTTCTCGTTTACAAATGTGATTGTCAGTTTACATAGACGTGTTTGACGTTCTCGTTTACAAATACGACAGTCAGTTTACACAGACATGTTTGACCCTCTCGTTTACAGACGTGTCTGTCAATTTACACAGACATGTTTGACCCTCTCGTTTACAGATGCGACAGTCAGTTTACACAGACATGTTTGACCTTCTCGTTTACAGATGCGACTGGCATGGCCTATGACCATCTGTCAGAAATACCTTCAAATTCCTATGAGCGCTGCCTTGATGTCTGAATGATCTTGTTCTAGAAACATCCTCGCTGATACTCTGCACCTGAATGAGCCTGCAGTGGGTGATACATTTACTGGCAGCTCAACTGCTAGCCTCGCGGTTGCCAAATCTGAAACAGAAATATAGTTTGAAAGCATTAGCATCATGTGGAGGGAAGTAAATGTACGCATGTGTGTACCGACAGACAGACAGACAGACAGACGCACAAACAGGTGCATGCAAAGGCAGAAACGTGCAGATTTATGAATTTGTATAGTATTTAGGCATACAAACATTTAGATTTAAAAACATATTTTTATATTCCTACATAGTGGTAAACTGTTGTGGATTTAAATAATGAGGTCATGAAAATATGTTGTAAGGTGAGCCTAAGAAAACATGTTGAAGTCAGTAGAATTAGTAGTAGTAGTATTAGTAGCAGCAGCAGCAAAAACAACAGCAGCAGCAGTACTAATAGTATCAGCAGCAGTAGCTGTAGCAGCAGCTGTATCAGCAGTAACAGCAGCATCAGTAGTAGTAACAGCAGCAGCAGTAGTAATTGTTCTATTAGCGGCAGCAGCAGTAGTAGTGCAGCAGCAGTAGTGGTAGTTGCAGCAGTAGTGGTAGTAGTTGTAGTTGTAGTATTAGTAGTTGTGTAGTAGTAGTAGTAGTAGTAGTAGTAGTAGTAGTAGTAGTAGTAGTAGTAGTAGTAGTAGTAGTAGTAGCAGCACCACCAGTAGTGCAGCAGCAGCACTAGTAGCAGTAGTAGTAGTAGTAGTAAAGTAGTAGTATTAGCAAAAGCAACAGTAGTAGCAGCAGCAGTGATGATGATAATTGTACAACCGCCACCACAACCACTACTACTGCTAGTAGTTGTAGTAGCAGCAGTAGCGGTAGCAGTAGTAATAGTAGTAGTAGTAGTAGTAGTAGTAGTAGTAGTAGTAGTAGTAGTAGTAGTAGTAGTAGTAGTAGTAGTAGCAGTAGCAGCAGTAATAGTAGTAGTTGTTGTAATAGTAGTAGTAGTGGTGGTGGCGGCAGTTGTGGTAATAGTCGAAGTTTTAACTTTATTGCAACCGGGTCACTCAATTATTTTGTTTGTTACAGTGGGGTGAAATTTACACAAAGAGCTATTCGATGTTCCATTTAACTACCAGTAAACCAGTATTAGTCCTGGCAACATATCCGTATGGATTCCGGGACCCCAGATCGAGAAGAACAGACCCACTCCATCTCCGAAAAGCAACAAACATGTCGTAATCTAGCTTGAGGTTTCCTTCGAAGACGGAGTGCATCTGCACGAGGCAAGAAACCAAGAGTCTGCAGACAGATAAGTCAGATCTGTGAAACAGATGTGCACTTAACACTCAGGGGCTGGAACGAGTCTCTAGTTCAGAGATCGCTGAACAACCAGAACTTTCCACCGGAGTTTAAAGCCGGTGAATGCGAAGAAGAAGAAGACCTGGCAACATTCACAAACATAATGCATAACACAGAGGCTAGAGGTTCCAACAGCAACAGTTACCAACAGAACTAAAATTCGTCGTGGATGGAATTAGTAAGTAACAAGTCAGCCGTACACATGCAATATAAATGAATAAGGCACTTTGCCTCAATCACAGATTACTAGCTTTTTTATGAAAATCACAACACAAACCTCTGGGGAGACAAATTAAATGCATTTCACATGACCCGCAGAGTCACAGTGTGGCACAAAACACTTTATTCACTATTTCAGACAACGAAACCGTGGACTTTAGTCAGTGTGTGAAAACTGCGTTAACAAACAGTGGCCAGAAACAAAAAAAACTTCGAAGCGTTAACGGACGACCTGCCTATCCGCCAGAATTGGCCTGGAAGTCTTCAAAGAAAGAAAATGACAAGAAAATAATAAAATTTAAGCAGAAGTACATAAATAGACCCTCACCTAGCTACTATTCTGAACAAAAAGGACAAGAAAAAGAAGCAAGAGAGACCATGGTGGCCAACATGTTTCTTTCTCTGCATCTAAATTCCAATTTATATTTTCACATTTCAATAAAATCGATGCAAGCTGGCCGTACAATACCTGGCCACAATAATACTCGAGTACATGAGAATGTGAAATTGATTTGCCAGCTAAAATTCTCATTCCCTCATCCCAAACTTCATTCTGGCTAGCAACTGAATTTTGCTGCCACGATATGAGCCCAATTGCTGTTTGGGCCGACTACAATACTTGAAATCGATGCGCATTTAATGGGAGTCAAGTACGATATATGGCAGCAGTTTGCGATATTAGAGTTTTCGGGTTAGCCGGGTGTAATCGAATCTTGGTGATTAACAAACTGAAAAAATTGCGTTTTGTTGTGGGTCGGAGATTTATAACAGAAAGGTTGGTAAATGACATTTCTGTGGGTGGTGCGCGCGCGCGTGTGTGTGTGCGTGTGTGTGTGTGATGGGGGTAATAAGCGGGGTTTAAAGTTTTAGTGTGTTCATCATCATCATCATGTAGCAGGTCCTTTGCAGAACGTCGCTCTCATCACAATCTGCCTGAAAGAAACTCGGTCTCTCGCCAGTTCTCCTGCCTCATGTACTTTCATACTCAAGGAGTCACTTATATCCTGTGCCCATCTTCGTGTCGGTCGGCCCCAGCCCCTCCTTCCTGGTACCATGCCTTCTGCTATTATTTTGTCCAATCCGCCGTGGCGCTTCTTCTTTGCATTCGGTTTCGCATGCTTAGATCAGACCATCAGGTGGGTTGCCTCTATGAACTCGCATGTCAGCTGCAGGTCCTACATGGTTCCCCATATCTTGCTCTGCACACTTTGCTCTTGAGGCCAGGTGTCTTTTCAAAGTTGCAGGTAGAGAGGGCAGGTCTGCAGAATGTGCTGAGGTGTTTGGCAGACACACTGGGGGGACTGTACAATCTTTATTTTATGTATGTGGTAGCTGAGCCTGCAGT